ATATTTTCTTGCTAGAAGTAAATCTTTACTAAATTGAGGTCAATGATAATACACCTACTGCCATCAGTAGAGGCGGGATATTTTTTTTTTTTTATAGCTGCCTCTGCAAAGGAGCACATTTGTGCATAAGTACAGATCTGTTTCAGTGTAGTTGTTGCTGGTTTTCTGCTTTTTTTTCTGTTTTACCTTTGCAGTTGTCTGAGGACAAGACTAGAAGCCACTGGCATGTTTTAGCATGAATCACTGTGTGAGAAATACTTCTCATTGTCAAAATGCAGTGTGCTGAACAATCATTACCTTTAATAGGTATGAAAGACATCGAGAATCTTTTGGACTCCAGCGTCTAACTGCAGGGAGGGAGGGACCTTACTACTGTCTTAGAACAATAAATTACATAAATTGAAATGGCAGCACTATCCTTGATGGTTCAGTCTAGTTACAGAAAAGTAAATGTAGGTGAAATGGTTCAGCAATTCTTTTGAATATGAGAATTGACATATAAGATTAAGCCAATGATGAATCTGTTACATTTTCTGTGAGCATTCAGATAAGAACTTCAAGGAATGGAAGAAAAATTTGCGATTATGAATAGCTTTGGCATAATTTCTCCTTTGAGGGAATGTTACTTTTTACATTCCATAGGAAGTTTGAAAGGTTGTACTGTAAGACTAAGATCAAAAACTGAGTAATAGTCAGTCAGGCTGAAAAAAATTGACATGTTTGTACGAGGATTTCTTGTGCATCTTCTGCTGAAGACACTGAGAGTTCTACAAATGAAAGATGTGTAGGGTGGACACCCTTTTTTTTTTTCTTCTTTTTTTTTTTTTGTTCCTATCTCAGGAACACCAAAAACATAATTCTGGTCTCATTTATAATTTTAAACAAAATCAGACTGACCATCATTATGCTGTTGCTAACATAAACCTTGTTTCTTGTATGACTAAACTCCCAATAGGCAAACACCATCTGCCTGTTGAAGGAAAAGAGGGTTCATCACTGAAACAATGTCTAACTCATTAGGAGCTGAGGAGCATCAGATCTACTGCAAAAGCTATGTAGCAATATCCTTAGAAATCTCTTAACTCCACATTCAGTGCATTTGTTGGTTGAAGCTCTCCTTTGATATTGAAGAATTTTTCCCATATTAAAGTGAAGAGTTTTCAAACGAAGAGCTTTTCTCCAGGTACCACTGCATGAAATTTTACAGACTACTATGAAACAGTATATGGTCTTGGAAGATTATCTTACAGCTAAGAACACAGAAATTCAGGTTGTGATAGAGCAACATAAATAACAGTGGCACATCAGTTTACCCTTGCAGAAAAAAATTAGTATTGTTTCGTGATGTAAAATATTTCTTAAGTGATACTGCTCTGCAACATCAATAGGAACATAGAAAAAGCTGTGACTTTTTTTTTTTTTCAGACATTTAAATTTCCATGAGTTCTAAAAGACACATCTTTGCTTTGGATTTTATTCATGTAAAAAAAAAACATAAATGTGTGTACACTTTTAAATAGGTCATTTTATCGGATATAATAGTTCTGTGCTCTCTGGTTTAGTAAAGTACTATCACTTTGGAAGCTAACTCTTTTCTCATCCTGCTATAGAATGGTATTAACATTTTATAAACCAGATAAAAACAGTTGAATAGTACACAAAGGAACCAAGTTAGCTACTTTAAAGTGCATGTTTTGCAGAATACAGCGGCTTTCGTGGAGGACTGCACAGTCCAAGGTGGATATCCCACTTGCCTGGTGTCAGACCCATAGCTATGGAAAGCCGTTGCCGGGGGAGAAGGGAGTAGCAGTAGGATTCCCACAGAAGAGCTGTCCAGCACCAGCGGTGCCGTCTGCTTTCTCCAGCATCCCCCAAGTGAGAAGTGCCACGCTGAGCTGCCTTGGATACCTTCTGTAAGATCTAAGGTGTAATTGGAGTGTGCGTGATTTTGAGTCTCAGCGGAGCAGAACCTTTCTTGAAGCACTGACTGTGCAACATCTGTAAAACAATTTCTACTTGACAACAACGATCATCATCTGAAGAGTGCAGCGGGTATGCAGCTTAGCCACTCCTAACCATGTACTCAGATTTACAGTCTTTGGGATTTGATATTTTGCTGGCAGTTTGTGGTGGTATGGGTCCATGAAAGATCAACAGTCTCTTAGTAAAACATGTCATTATAGTTGGATATCTCTGATTCATGATGCTGGAGCAAATGGATGCTTTAGTACAACCCCATTGTTTGTTGTCAGTGTCAACATACATTCATCTTGATGTTTCTGAGCCAGTATTTCCAGCAGAAACTGAGATGCCTGTGTTTGACCATTAAAACTGAGAGCAAAATTGCAAAGGAAGTAGGAAATCAAAAGCATGCAGTGATATGTGCAATTATGAAAGACTTACCAGAGATGTCCATGGCAACTAGATGTCATAACCATATAGGATAACAAAAATTTCAATAGAAAGCTTGACTTTATCACAAATTATAATTCCTCCCCCCTCTCCTCACCTAACCTTTTTATGTTCCACAGGCTATAAATTACTGATCTCTTTCTTTCCATTAGAAGATAAGCACCTTATCACCTTTCTTCTTTTCTGACATCCTTATCACTCCACACGCAGTAAGCATCTTTACTCTCAGGTGGTCTAATTGATACATATCTAATTAAAGGCAAAGCATTTTTTCTCAGCTTGCGTTCAGCTTTGAAGTGTGTTGCTTTGATTTCAGACCTGAAGAACAGCTTTGTGTGCCTGAAATTCTCCTGGTTGAGCAAATAAAATATACTACTTCTGTCCAAAAACTTTGCCTTGCCTATGTATCAATGCATTCATTTATTGTTAGTGAAAAAGAGAAGACAGTTTTTCATGGAGCGAGTTAAAAGGTATGTGTGAGGACTGCAGCTCTTCAGAGCCTTCAGGTTTAGGACAAAACGTTCAAATATGATGAGACAAAGAAAAGGATTCAGTACAGACTACAGTAGATAACTGGAGTAGCAAGAAAAATAATTTGATGTCTTAAAGTCTTCAATGGGAACATTCTGTGTGAAAGAGAAAGCTGAATATATAGGTAGGAGAAGTGCCAGCATCAAATTGTTTAAATAGCATTATTCTACTTATCACTTTTGTAGTGAGAAAGTAGATTCTCCAAAGTTACATAAGATATAAAGAGAAAGAATTATAGTTCTAATTTTAAAAAGCACCATCAATTCTAATTATGGGTAGGAAGGCGAGGAAGAAATACTATGCACATAACACTGAAATTTCCAGGCAGTTCTACTTGACATAGCCAGCACTTACGTAGAGATTTACTAATTTTTTCAAACCTTACAAGGGTCACACAATTAATTGACCTGACCCATAGGACATTTGCTAGTTTTATGACAAGGGTATTTCCTCCCCCTCTAGTTACCCCCTTTTCCGCTAGTTCCAGCAGGTTTTAACAGTGGGTGATGTTCATCATCGTTGCCCTAGAGCACCCTTTTGCCATTAAAGAACCTTTTTCTAAACTTGAGGCATTTTTAGTACTTTGGAATTATCAGCTGAAAGGCACATTTTGGATGCAAATCATTTGCTTCACTGTTGTAGTGTGTGGCTGCCAAGGAAGGAGGAGGTGTCCATTCGGTGCTAGGAGAAGGATCATCCCTGTCCCCTAAGTGAATGGTTTTGCAAAGTGCAAGTTCTGTTTCTTACCTTCTTGTGGCCTGCTGCAGAGGAATAAAATGGGGTTATGTGGAATTTAAGAATTTCTGTAGGGAGCCCTCCATGATCCTTTTTCTTTTCATTTTGTTTAGTAAGACTGTCTTGTTGGCAGTTGTTAATAAGGTCTGTGATGATTTGGGGTTTTTTTCCCAGCTAATTGCTCTTTTGATTTGGGCTTTTTGAAGTATGTGATAGGATTGCTGTTTATAGAATGTAATAACCACAAGAATCTGAGTGTTTTCTGAGGTCAGACTGTCACTATCCTTTTGTTTCCTTATGCTGAGCTAGTACTTGGCAGCTTGTGTAGTAGCTCAGCCATTGTCTAAATTAACAGGTTGTTCTTTGTATTTGAAGTGATGGATGTGATTGAAGTGATTAGCGTGTATATGCCTAAATAAATTACTCTGCAGGGGAGAAGGATCCGAATGGAGAAAACTGTATAGATCCAAAGACAGTTTGTTGTAAGAACTGTGGTACATTCAAGAATGTGGAAAAGATTTAAGTGAGAATAAAATCTCAGACCAGAAAATGTATGGGGAAGTACAGTTTAACTCTATAAAGTCTTTGCTAAAGGTTCAAGGATATACTTCTTATTATATTTCTCTGGAGGCAACAGCTCTGGTATAAATGCAGACGTACTGAGAAAAAAAATCAGTTGCCAGTACAACAATTTATTTCTCTGTGATAGCAACACTGGCTCAACCCTCCTGGGTTTTGGCTTCCTAAGTAACTCGAGAGCCTATAGGAAAAGGATCATTTAGGTGCTTAAATTCATTTTAATAATATTACCAAATGGCGTGTCTCAAGCTTCTTTTTCAAAGGATTTAGAGTCTACATGGGTTTTTTCTTACGAGTTGATGCTTCTATTTCTGTGAAGCAGCAGTAGTTATCCTGAATCTTTTTGCAGGGCTTCATTATTTGGCATTGTGTTGGCATGACAGGAGGATCCTGTGTCCCACAGAACTTTTGAAGTTCACTTGCTGATTAAAATTCTCTTGTATGTCAGCACGTGGAAGCAGTAGATTAATTATTCTTAACTTACATGCTTACAAATACAGTCTAAAAATAAAGGACTGATTCTTTACATCTGTATACACACGAGTTTTGTTATTTTTTCCACAAGTGACTTAAGATAATGGGAGGACCCTGACTCACAGGTCTACATGAAGCTGCAAAATACTGGTTTTCGCCCTTGAAGAACCTTTTATTAGCGCACACAGCTGTATCATCGTATGACATGGGCTTTTCAGTACACATGTATTACATAAAGCTAATAAATTGTTCTTGATTTTGCTTTGCAGTACAGAATTGGACAGCTGTACATGATAAGCAAGCATAGCCATGAGCAGAGTGATCGAGGTGAAGGTGTGGAAGTGGTGCAGAATGAACCCTATGAAGATCCAAACCATGGCAATGGTCAGCTAACAGAAAAACGTGTCTATCTCAACAGGCAAGTGCAATAAAACTGTTTCTCTCAGCATAGGCTGTAATAAAAATTTGGAAGGAATACCCCTTCCAGGCAATAGCTGTTCTGTTTCAAGTAGAACGTGTTCCCATGAATACGTGCTGCTTTCTGGTAGCTGCAGGAAGAAGGAAGGTGGGATAGATCGGTGGCTTAAAATAGAGGGATTAGTTGTCATTTCTTCTATCTTTTCTAAGAGAAAGAATTGTTAACTTGGAAGTTAAGGATATACTGAAAATCTGAACTTTTGTTTTCTTTTACACTTAACTGTTTGTCATTTTGCTTTCCAAAATTGGGGAGGGGGAAGCCAAAAAACTATAATCAAAACCAACAAACACTCCACTCCCAAATAAAAATCCAAAACTAAACCACTAAAACGGTTTTTGGGGTTTCTCACCTCATAATAATATCACAAAGCCAGTATCCCATTTTTGGTGACAAGAGATTTGCCTCAGCAAAGTTAATTGACATTATAACCGTGAGGCTTGTACAACAATGACCTTCTGTACCAAAATAATAAGTTTAAAGACACGATGGGAAAAATGGCTTTTGTTGCCCTGAAGTTCCATCCTTTCTTAAAGTGAAATATGTGTCACTTCCTATGGTGAAATTATACTGCCGAGGATCAATGCCTCCACACTCACAGGCCAGAGATATTTTTACATATATATAATTTTTTTATATATATCTATATATACACACACACACTCAATCTGTTCCCTTTTTTACTGCTGCTGATCTAACTGAATATCAGTGCTTTTCTGAAGTTCTTCTATTCCCTCAGGCCTGTTTTGTTTTATTAAACTTATAATCTGCAGCATTTCGTAGTGGGCATGGAAGCACTACAGCTATTACTTCTATATTGCAAGTTACTCCTCCGCTACAAACTTGACATATCTAACCTTAACTCAGGCTAAATTGAATCACTGTAATGTTGCATGCGCACACACACACACACACACACACAAGTCCAATAATATATATCTTGCCAACATTTAATATTATTGTGTTTGTAAGTCTGTTCTCTCACAGGCTAGATACAGAACTCAGGAAAAATCAATAAATGTGTTGCTGTTGTACAGCTCCCAAAAGTTGTGTTTTTCTTAATGTTTCTGGATATTTCTTTCCTTCATGTTAAAAAAAAGATAAGGCTTTAAGCACAGAGCATATTCAGAATGACCACTTTAAGATAATTCAGAATAGCTGCAAGGCCTGTGTCCATAAGGCACGTACACGACGTATTTAGGAAGCATGTGGTTTCTGGTAGCAAAGGCAATGGAACAAAGGATTTCTTACCCAAAGACAGAGAAGATCTGCATGCCTACAACAATTTGGGAAGTTTACCTAAAGCTATGGTGGATGTTTGAAGTCAGGTTGTCTGAGTTTAATGAGAATTATGAGTACTCCTTGATAATCATCACCAGATTTGCTTTGTGAATCTGGTTTGCTGTCACGACAGCACCAGATACTGCGGTACTATAAAAGCTGTGTGGAAAGGATCAGCAGGTTTTCAGGAAACTGTGGATTTTGTTGGGAAGCCAGGATCTCTCTAGAAGGCTTCACCCAAGGAGATGTGCTGCCATACAAGATATGCTGAAAACTTCTTCTCTGCCTGCCTTCCTTGAGGAGCAGGACTCCTCACACCAGCACAGTTCTCTTCGTCATCTTTTCTTCTCTCAGGGTCCACCACCCTAATAAACTGGCTAGCTTTGCTTCACTGTATTTTGCTCTAGGATGACCTCTCCTGAAGAAATTTGAGCTTAGATATTTCAGTGGTGGTTTCTCAGAAAGATTTGTGCATTATTTGCATTCATCTTTTCTTGCCTGCTAATACTTTAATTTTTGCAGAGAGTCATCTTGCTTACCAATGGTTTTGCTGGACTGCCTTTAAGAAACACTTCCTCCCTATGTGCTGAAAGACTGAACTTCATCTGGGGAAGGAAGAAATTACATTAAAAAAAAAAAAGAGAGAGAGAGAGAATGTCATCCACAGATAATTGCACTGCTAAAATAGAAATATTACATTTTCTTTCTCTGAGTGCACCCTTGGAACAATTCATGTGTGTCTATGCCCATGACTTGCTGGCACCTCTGAGTATAATGTGTGTTTTGCTCATAAAATTACTTGTTTTGGAGATGTGCCATGCCAGCAAAGATAGGTAGACAGGCAAATATGCTGAAGCCAACAATAACCAAAAAAGTACAACATCTGTACATTAACAAAGACATAACTAGTAATATTTTCTAGAGTCAGTGTTAGCCTTAGTTATATTCAGAAGTCTTTAATGCCTCTTCCCTCCTGCTGGAGCACTGTTTTCAGAAGCTGAAAGTCTGGATCCTCTGGTATTTATTATTTAGGCATCAGAGTAAAGTGTAGCAGGGGTAAAGGAGGGAGCAGAGAGTCGTAAAAAGACACTGACAGAGGTTGACAAAATAAACAAAAGATCTGATACAGTGAAGTCTATTATGCAGTATGTAAAATGCTACATAAAAGGCTGTACACAAGAAAGGTTTATGTAAAGAGAAGAATTTGGTTTTGAGCAATGTCATCAAAAAGCAAAAGTCAATGCACTTGACTTTGAGTCTTTAGATAATGTACTAATGTTTGCATTTTGCCCCTGGACAAATACAATATTTATGTGTAGCTAGATCATGGTTAAATAAGCCTTAATGATCCAACCTCTGTATTTTCTTCAGAAATTTGCTAATATGGAAAGTCTGCACACAGTTACCTACAGATAAATGTTTTGAACATTTACCCTTGGAAAACTGAGGTTTGAAAGCATCTGCTTTAGTTCAGTAAAGATTCAGTCTTGTGCTGGGTGATCTGCCTGACACATTGCTAGACTAACACAGTTTTAACTGAATCCCTGAAATAAAGTGATATTTGTGATCTCCCAAGGTCTGCCTTCCTGTGAGTGACTAGTACTGCATCTTCGTTCCTGGCAGCTTCACTGATTATAATCGATGTCATTAAGAAAGGGTCGAAAGATGGATTATCATGAACTTGCCTTTTTAAAATGTCTATTTGCTCATCACTTCTTTGGTACCTTATGTGACCAGACTTCTGGAAATGAGACACCCAAGATCTGTGGTAAAGAAAATGCTCCCACTCTTCCATAGTATTACTTAATTACCTTTTAATGATCTTTTCACGTGCTTATCCATGGTTTTCATTTCTTATTCTACTGCTGTTGTACCACCACATTGGGAAGGTTCCCTTGGCAGATGGAGCTCTGAGCTATGACATCAGTTCCAACAATTTTCTTCACTTTTGTGATTTACTTTTCTCATCAGCAAAATGGGACTAATACTACTTAGCAGCCTCACGGAGGTGTTTTGAGTGATTTGTTCATTTTAATGTAAAAGCTTCCTACTCAGGAGTTGGTGTTGGTACTGTGGGAAAAACTGCGTGCTAGGTGAGCTTAACGTGAAGGTTTATGTGCCAGCAGAGAATATGGAGGAAGAAGAAATAGTCTCTGAGAAGAAATGATGGACTCGGGATCGAAGTGGACTGAAATCCCATGTTTACTCATGACCTCTTGTTAGAGAGTGCCTCCCTGTGGTTAAGGATACTGCGACACAGTTCCACCTTGTGTGGGCTAACCTGCTGAGCTCCTCCGGGACCAAAGGCTTGAGGCCATGAATACTTGAAAGGCGCAACCTCAATTTAAATCTGATCGGAGATTGTTGCACTGTCACCATATTGCTCACTTTGAGAGGGGAACAGACAGACTCGGTTTCATATGTGCTTGTGGAGAAAGATGGAATTGCGTAGTCACGAGATGAAAATACTCCTGCAAAGTGTAGGTATGGCTGTGTCCTGGGAAACACCTGTCAGATTATGAGCACATTTAGAAGTAGCTTGTTTCCTATAATGCTCTAAGTCATGGAATATTCTAATTTTATATTTTCTTTTTATTTTCAGCAAACTGCCTAGCTGGGCTAGAGCAGTTGTTCCCAAAATATTTTATGTCACAGAGAAGGCTTGGAATTATTATCCTTATACAATCACAGGTAAGGAGTAAAGCAGAAATGATTACTGACTTGTACTTTATGGATAGTTTAGCTTATCTTCAGAAGCTCCAAGTTACATATTGAGCCACAGATAGCAATTTTCTTTAACAACTCCTGTTGAACTGGATATATTTTTACATCTTATATTGACTAATAGCAGGAGATAAAGTTTATAGACTATGGACGGGTAAGAACTGGAGTGTTGTATCTATGCGATTTCTTCCCTGCAAAGAAAACATCAGGTGCTGAGATTCTGTGCTCACTTGTACCCTTTATTGTCCCATAGACTTTAGTCAAATATAAATCAGCAGATTATCTGACACAAATTTTTTTATTATTAATGTATGTTTACTGTAAGGATCTTGCATCATTGTTTTATTTAACATTTCTTTTTTTTTTTCTTTTCTCTCATCATTCTTTTTTTTACAAATGGACAATTGGAATTCAGAATACACAGTAAGTTTTTCTTCCTCTTTTTATTCTAAAAACAGAATAATTATGTGAAATATAGTAGTGGAATCCAACTGATTCCTTCTTAATATAACTAATACATAATGCATTCAATAGTGGAACTTTATTTTAGCAATTTGTTAAAGAAATCTAAGGTTAAATTTGAAGTGTTTCTGTGGGGATCCTATAAATTATTTACCTTATCTTTTTATCACTCCAAAATAATTTGATATATTTTTAGTCACTGACTATAACAAAGAGAAGCTTCTATAAAACAGGGCAAGGCTTTTAAGGTTCCAGTTATTATGTGGAGACATGAGAACAGATTTTATTTTATTTATTGCTTTATTAACTTATAAAATGCTCATCTCTGGTATAGTATCTGGGAAACTGTACAATCTGTAGACAAAATTAAACATAATCTGGGCACAGTGCCCAGAAAAATCAACTATTCCCTCTAGCAGAGCTAAGGCAAAATATAGCACATAAATCATGAGAAAAATTGTTTTAAATGTGCTGGCCTCAATAATATACAGTAAGTTTTCAGCAGCCTTTAGAAAGTGAGGAGAAGATGGTGAGGAAGTTCCAGGTGAAGGGACCTTTCAGCAACTGCTACCTTGATTTAGTTTGAACTTCTGACTTCAAATAAAACATAATCTGTTTGTTTGTCTTAAATCTGCAGTGCTCAGAATGTTTGGGCATATTTGGTTTTTTTTAAAACCAGTAAGGCATACAGAGAGGAAGAAGATTTTAACGTGATAAATCTAAAAGAGAGAAAAAATAAAGGGATTGAAAGGCTCAGATCTGAAAGCTAGAAAGTTAAAGTTGAAACTGTGATGGCCAAGTTTGAAAATCTCAAGTAGCAAACTGTGCTTTTCAATACGTACTGTAGATACTTATCACATATTCTACTTTGTTTCATGTTTAAAATTCATTTGTCAGAGGAAATACAAATGTCCCATAATGGACAGTAGTAATGAGGGGACAGATTCTCGGCTGGTTTTGTTGGAAGATGTCTTCAATAGGACCTATCACAGTTTGCATTAACTAAGGGTTTACCATCTGATAGCAGGTTTAATCTTGGGCTGGGAAGATGACATGTGCTGTGTTGCATTGATGTCTGTTACTTACACATATATTTTTTCTTTAACTGAAAGTCAATTTGAAATATTTATGTCATTTTTTTTCTTCAACTGAAAAAAAAAACAAAAAGTAGGAATTAATAAAGGGGGGCAGTAGCAGACCGAAATATGTGTCTAGATTTGAAATGCAATACATTATCAAAACCAAAAAGCCATGCTGTACTCACAGAATTTGAATCAGGAGGTGATCTTTATCCAATCTGATGAGACAACACCTGAAACACATTTCGGTGAATGTACACAGATACAGAGATGTTCAGGAGCATTAGCAAAAATTATTGCAGGGTTGAAGAGACTTGTAAAGAAGAATTAAATCGGTCTACAAATGTAGAAGGTAGGCAAAACAGTCACTAAGTGACAGTATAACTGCCTATGGGAGTTGGGGACTAATTACTCACCATGGTGCAAGGAAACAGAACTAGAAATATTGGGATGAGATTAAGGGAACTGTACTTCAGACAAAAATCTAAAATATATTTTAATGGAGCTGATAAACTATGAAATTATCTTCAAGGGAAATAGAGAAAGTGCCTTTGCCTCAAACTGTTGAATCTAGAACAAAAATGTTAAATATACCACTGGGAATAATTCCTGTCCTTGTCTGGAATATTTCTCTAAATTTTGATCTTCTGTATTCATTAGAGAATTCTGAAAGAAATAATAAACCCACACACATTGCCCAAAATATGTAAGACAGCTTGGAAACCCTTTTCTTAAAGATAGTAGATTCCCTTCAGAGGGTCTGTGGGACATCCTAAGAATTAAATTTAGCCTCATTTCAAGGAAGACTGATTCTAAAGGCAGGCCAATACCTGGATAGATAAAGCACAGTCTTATCAAGTACATACTGCTATATAGTGTGTTCACACCTTACTTAACCTCGAAGTTCCACTCTAAATCAAGAGCAAGGACCTTAAAGACTCAGTAGTGTTATTTCAGTGCATGTTAGTGATTTGGAAACTGAGCCTAACAAAGTTTAGCTATCAAGTTGGAGTACAAAGAGGCTAGGAAAAATACAAACAGAATTTAAGCAAACTCGTCTGAGTTTGACGGTGCAGTTCTAGTTTTTACCAGGGATCATTTCAAATAGTTTTGCTGTCTGATCTGAACAGCTTCAGTGTTCTTAGCAATATTTAAATTCTGGGGCTGAAATTTAAAAAACAGATGGAAAACTTTTTTAATGCATAATTTAGGGCCAATTGTTAGTTTCACAAATAAAGCAAAAAACCCCACTAAAAATGGCATGGTTTACTCTCTGCAAGGAGGAAGCATATTCTTTCCACCTGCCAATTTCTCAAATTAATTTAGGAATAGGGTATAAATTCAGAATATTTATGAAAAACAGTTATGGAACAGAAAGCAGGCGTCAATGATTCCTTTGAAGATATATCACAATGACACTGATTTTTCTACAGCAAATGGCTGAGGCAAATAAAATTATTTCATCTGGTATATGTCAAGGCCCCAGAGTGATAGCTGCTAAATGTTCCATTATTGACCTGCTGGTTTCTGATTACTTTTGAGAACAGACATGTTTTGTCCTTCACTTACTCAGCTGCCAGTTCATGAAGTAAATTCATCCATGAAGTAAATTATCTGGAAGGAATGTTTTTGTAATTGTTATTTTTATGATGAGATGACTTGAGAGGGGGAAAAAAGTTGTTTCAGATAAACATTGCAAGCAATCTGTAGAGTTTTTTTCCTGTGTTTTCTTTATCTGATTACGAGTGCTTGAAATTTGGATGAAACCCATCAGTCTCCAGTGCACAAACTTTTCTCCAGCTTGAGTATATGAAGAGTCTGCATTACAGATGCAAGAGAATCTGTATTGCAGGGTTAGAGCCTAATACGAAGTTCTACCAAAGTTCCTCCCCTCTCACCCCCCAACCTAGAAGACAGGCTACCTGGTGACATTACTCTAGCAAAACACATACTTGATTCCTTTAGCGATTCTAGCAAAAGGAAGGACCTTTGCAGTATTTATAAGAAACAAATCATACATTTTTAGAAAGCTGCAAACCTGTATTCTCATCTAATAGCTTAATTTCGTTGAAACAGAGCAAATCAGGCTGCTTGGGAGAATCCCTTTTTCCACCAGTGGCTTATTATAAAGCAATCCAAACCGTTCTCTGATTCATGGGACCGGCCTTTTCACTTGGGCACACTGCTTCTCACTTCTGTTCTTCCTCAATAAACAGGTTACTGTTCCCGTGTATCAAAGGAGATCCTAAGGGAAGGCAAAACGGAGATAAGTGCTGAGTTTCATAGTGGGTGGAGGCAAGTTGTTAGTCGACTGTTTCATCTTCAAGTTATTTTATGTAACACCAACAGTGGTTTTCTTTCTGAGCTTGGTTATGAGAGTTTAACTCTCTTGCTTATTTTCAAGCCCCTTTTTTGCATTGTTCTTTTTCTGCCCAACAGTACTTTTTCTGCTCTTTGACACCTTCCGGTGCTTATCTTGCTTTCCAAATTCTCCTCCCTTTCATTGAGTCACATCTTCCAAATCCTGCCATCACCCTGCCCAGCCCTTTCCGGCTATTCTCTTCCGACTTTGTCATCCTGATTGATGCTAGTTTGTGTAGTAAGTAACCTGTATCATCACACAGCAGCCCTGTGTGCTCACATGCCGTGCTGTCCAGAGTTTTCTGAAGGTAGTCAGTAACATGGTGGCCATTTTTCAAAAAACTTTGAATATTCAATTAAAGAAACTGTCTTTATTCTTCCTGTAAATAGCTGAAGGAAATACTGTAATTTGAAATATGCTGTAGAGACATCACTGTATTATCTTCTTGCAGATAAACTGTAGAGATGACATCTGGTTTATCTATACCCATGTGTGATTTAGATTTTTCTTCCACATCCAGGTCTCTGTTCTGTCCTTGCCATTGGCAGTTGCCCATGTTGGATCCCTCCTCCCATTCCATCCATTCTTGTTTATAAATGCCCGGTATTGCTCCAGAGCTGGTGTGTGTGTGTCTGCCTGCTTTCCCTCCTTGCCCTTTGCTGTGCTGGGCATTCCCTTCTGCCCGAGTAAGCCTGGGGCCCTTCCATTACCCCACTTAAGTAGAAGTAGGGATTCCATTTGTCTTTTCCAGGTTTTTGATCTTCAATAAAGAAATGGTGTTGTTACCCACTGACTACCAAACCAGTGCCCAAAACCTTTGAATGCAAAGGATGTGGTATCTAAAAGTTACTCTATTAAAAAAATCTAATTTTGCTTGGCCAGTCTCACCTCATTGTAGTGGTTACTGTGTTCTTTACCTCTAGACTCTATGGAGATTGCTCTGTAAAGAATTCAGTTCCACCTGTGTTGCCAAAGTAATATATATATGACCATATTAAAAAAAAAAAAATCCTCAGTCTGAAAAGTGGTGGGAGGTCAGAGAGAACATTTACATGTCATGACTCCCTCTCCAAGCTTTTATGTTAAGATTTAGGGGAATGTAAAAAAAAAAAAAAAAAAAAAAAAAAAAGTAGGATTAATTTTTACTGTACAAAAATAACTCCGAAGATTGTGGATTAATATTCACAAGGAGCAGAAGTGCAGTGATGAGGTCTCTAGCTGTTCTTTGAACATTCTGCAGAAAGAAACCAAATGGAAAATGAAACTATCTAAAATGGTATTGACGAAATAGCACTCGCTCATAGAAAGCAGGTTACGGAGGGTAAAGAAACCTTCCTCAGTTACCCTCTGTCCATCATATTTACTGTTGACTGTAGTAATTCCTGCACCCATCTTGGGTGTAATTACTATGCAAAGGTTATTTTTACAGCCTTCTCCACAAAACAATTGTAAACCACCGTCTGTGTTTGACTGTCTCTTTAAGACTTTGGCAAGTGTTTTGGCACACTTAGGTTCTACCC